AGTCCTCCCTACATTAAAGATCTTTTGTCCCTGAAACCAGCTACTAATTATGCTTGTCACTCATCTGCTCAATCTCTTCTGTTCATTCCAAAAGCCAACTGCTCTTCACTTGGGGACGGGGCCTTTGCTCATGCTGCACCTGTTTTATGGAACTCACTGCTATTAACTATAAGAACAAGTAGTAGCTGCGCGGTTTTTAAAAAGCAACTTAAAACATTTCTATTAAGGAAAGCTTTCAGTTTGTTTCAATAGTTCTAATGTTTATTGCCTTTGAATATTTTAATTTTAATTAGTATAGAACGTTAACTTATGTAAAGCGCTTCTGAATATTGTTTATAGTTTAAGTGCTATATAAATCCCTTATCATTATCATTATCATGATTATTATCAATTTAGTTGATATATAAATGTAAATGAGCACCTGGAAATTGTTTCGAAAGCTGACGTTTTGAACAATAGCCCTTAGATAGAGCTTAAAATGTCAGCTTTTAAAAAACCTTAGCCAATTTACATTATCAACTCAAGTTATCTTACACCCTCTAATAAGCCCTCTCTCTACTAAATCCTCTCTCTCATAAGCCCTCTCTCTAATAAACCCTCTCTCTGACAAGCCCTCCCTCTGATAAGCCCTCTCTCTGATAAGCCCTCTCTCTAATAAGCCTCTCTCTAATAAGCCCTCTCTCTACTAAATCCTCTCGCTGATAAGCCCTCTCTCTAATAAACCCTCTCTCTGATAATCCCTCCCTCTGATAAGCCTTCTCTCTAATAAACCCTCTCTTTGATAAGCCCTCTCTATAATAAACCCTCTCTCTGATAAGCCCTCCCTCTGATAAACCTCTCTCTATTAAATCCTCCCTCTGATAAGCCTTCTCTCTAATAAACCCTCTCTCTGATAAGCCCTCCCTCTGATAAGCCCTCTCTCTGATAAGCCTCTCTCTAATAAGCCCTCTCTCTACTAAATCCTCTCTCTGATAAGCCCTCTCTCTAATAAACCCTCTCTCTGATAAGCCCTCCCTCTGATAAGCCTTCTCTCTGATAAGTCTTCCTATGAAGTGAGCCCTCCTCTAAGAGACCCTCTATCTCTAAAGGGCTCCTTCTCTAATAAACCCTCCCAAAATACTTTTGTCTCATAGCATCTCTCTGTAAAATGTGTAACAGGTGTCAGATCCCATTAACCTGACAGTTATTTTATTGGCAGCGTCTGCCAGGCTTTATACACAAAGACATGGAGACTCTGTTTGTTGAGGAACAGCAGGCTGCTATCAGTCAACTGATGGGAAACTTGGAGAGTCAACCAGTGACAAAAGGTTTATCAGACTCCAAGATTTCCATGCCATTTACCAGAATCAAAGGGTGAGTAGCACCTTGGCCGTGATGGTCTCATTCTTCTCCCCTATTTTTCAATGAAAAAAAGTGCGTATTTATTTGTTGATTTTATCACCAGACCCCAGCACACAATCTCCATGGTTGAAGTTGCTGTTGATGATGTGGATTCAGTGCTATCAAAGTCTGATGTCATGTTGAATTTCACTATTGAGGTAAAAAGTGAATGTGATGTTGACAGATTACAGAGCGCTGAATTAGTGTACATATGTAGCTATGTCCTATTATCTTTTGGACAGAGAGCAGGGAGATCTTGCTGCATTATACCAATGTAAAGGTGATTTCAATAAAGGCTCTAGATGGCTCCTTGTGTTTTGCCATATAGGTGATGGTTCCTTTTTGAAAGCCATTAAAGAGAATTTTACCTTATATCCAGCAATAAAATGGCTAAAGTTGCATGCTTTGCATGCTAACGAGAGGGAAACTATAAAAATTTATTATTGTGATATAGATGTGGTAAGAGAGAAGAAATATAAAATTTTTGGAAATAAATTGTAGGCTCAGCATTTCAAAATTTTCCTTGAATGAGTCAAATGAATACTGTTTCTGGATATCAAAAGGCTTTGACACAAATAAAATTCCCCTAAAATTTCATTCTTGGGCACCAATTTTAATTTGTCCTTTTGTAAAGATTTTTCAGTCACTTGCTGTTAAATTGTTAGGGTAAGGTCTAAACATCCCACAACTTTTTATCCTTAATGTATAAATCTGCTTGATGTTTGAATCTCCCAGAAGTAAGCATTTACAGCATTTGTCAGCCACTTTTGTCTTGAAGCCATCTGATGATTGTTGTTATTTTATTTCCAGGTGGTTGTGATAGAGGCCAAAGGACTGAAGTCTCTTTCACCAGTGAAAATTGTTTACTGTACTATGGAGGTAAAACACAGAGCATTTCTGGTCAATTTTATTACTTTACAGAGATGTTAA